CCGTCTGCGTACCCTTAATCACGGTTATTACCCGCCAAACAACTTCTCGCTTGCATCTCTTTTGGAACTCTTCTTGCACTCTCTTATACCGTACATACATCCTTGCTACATTGGTTCGCCAACTATGCACGCGCTACTTTTCTTGTCATGCTGCGGTACCCCCAGTGGGGCCCCAGTCGTCTCGACCAGCCTTCTACCTTTTTACCCTGGCACTATAGTCGACATAAATAAATTAGAGGTTCACGCTCAGCATTCATGTGATGTGCGCATTCTTTCCCGAGTTATAACAACTTTGAGGCTCAAGCTCTAGTAAGTTGTGGATGTTCTTGTATCGACGAAGTCAATCAAACGTTTACTGATGCAAGAATGTTAGCGCACAGGCTTTCGTCGTGTACAGCTTCGTAGTTGATCTACATTACAGTTTCGGAGAGACGTCTATCCTTGCACGATCATGGGCCCTCCCAGGTTGCGATACACCTCAAGCCGACCGAGCGGGACCCGCGAGCTTCGTAACCAAAAGGTTATCACGCACGATCTCTTCCTTCTTCGCGAGGACTTCGTTGAGATCCCACGATGCTTGCACATATCTGCAGGTGATGAGTTATCTGAATGATGCACAGTTGATCAGTACTCACCGGCCACTCAGGAACTCGGCGTTCCGAGCGGTGAGCCATAGGAAGGTCGCCGCGGGAAGCTCAACCGTGTCGGGCATCTCCGCGAGGTCTTTCATGCCCATGCTGTCAAGGAACTCGGTCGCAGCAGAAGTCCATATTTCGCCCGGATGCACGGCATAAACAGGAAGCTCGGGATAGTCTGTGAGGATGAGGTCAGAGTTGAATTGGTGACCCTGGGAGGGTACATGGTAACGCACCGAGCGCTAGGATCTCGACGAAGCGATTGAGGGTGTGCTTGCTGATCTATGGAGACATCAGAGGGATGTCTCAAGGTTGTAGGGATCAATGCCAACTCACGCTATAGTCCGCCATCGGGGGCACACGTATATGCGACGCATTCGAGGTGGTCACAATGATCTGACCCTTTGACTTAAGAAGCTCAGGGATGGCAGGGCTGGATGGACTGGTCAGGGGATCACACGTCGAACCTCCTGCGCAATGTACGTACTGGACAATGTTCAAGGTACCCAGAACATTGACCTCCTGGGTACGCCACCAGATGAGTGGATCTCTGTCAGCAAGCTCTACGCGTAGTCAGAATACGTCCCGAGAGCGTCGAACGAACGGAACTTACTCCCCGTGCCCCCCATCGCGGCAGCCGAGTTAGCTATGACGATATCGAGTCTGCTCCACTTCTCTACAGCGAGCTTGACAATCCGTTTGCCAACATCTGGGTCAACAATATCACCCGCAACGAGCAGAAGCTGGGCGCCTGGGACCTCTCTCTCTATGACCTTCTTGCGCTCTTCGAGGTTCTCTGAGCGCCGTGCGTTCAAGACCACTCTGGCTCCGGCCTTGGCATAGAACAGAGCTGTGGCGGCACCTATACCGGTAGATCCACCGGTGATGACGACGACCTTGTCCTTGTACGTCTGCGTCGCGAAGTGAGGCTTTGGGTCAATCAATGGGTACACGCTGTGGATGTACATCAGGCCTCGAAGGGAGAATAAGGCAATGACGAAACTCACTCGTGTTGAGCACTAAAGATCTTGAACTCGGTTTCGCCCTGCATAGTTCAAGTCTAAGGGAAGTCGTCGAAGAGTGGTAGGATATGGGAAGTGTGGTCAAGTCTGATTCAACAAGGCAAGCCGGGTCCTCTCATTATATAGCCTCGCACATAGAATTCTCATATATCTTCTGTGCACCGTCATCATGCGCTATACGCCGCATCGCACGGAGAAACTTCCGTGGCTGACGGGTCCATAGACTGAACCGACAAATACAATGTGCGCATACGCTGAGCAAGAACCTCGGGTTAGCCATCGACCCCGAGAGGCCCGTTATCCCCTTCCACACGGCTCAGCTCCCGCCTACCACAAATGAGCGGCGTTAGCAGATGGGCATACGAGCAGAGTATGGTACTGGTGAGGGCACAGCATACATTTTGCAACGGGCAAGCGCTCATATACTGGTCCAAGACATCAGCCGGCAAGGATTGGGCAAGGACGAGCTCGAAATACCAACTTGGACTGACACTCCACTGCCATGCGTTCGGCGATGAATACCCGGTACGAGTTGATGTAGGAGTACTTCAAGCACAAGGACTCATACTTGACACGAGCTCTTCGAGTTCCAAGTTCAACATTGGTTCAACACAAGCGTCGCTCGTAAGCTACCATCACGCGGGTTGGTTTCCACCGTGACGTGAGACAGCGTGACTGATCGTTGATCGTTACTCATTAATCTTCGCGGTGTCGACACTGCACGTCCCCATGGACTGCCATGTCTCGATTTCACATCTGCACTATCGCTATGTACGCGCGTCGTACATAAGTCCCATTCGACCTTGCTCGGAGACCAATCCCATCTGCGCTCGAGAATGTCACTGTATGGTACAAGGAATCGCGCGCAGTATTGCCAGACCAAACACGCAAAAGTCGATGCACTCTTGAGCTCAGACACCAATCAAGACGACTTGACTGGACCGGCGAGCTTCGTCACTAGCAGGTTGTCGCGCACGATCTCGTCCTTCTTGGCCAATACCTCGTTGAGGTCCCAAGTCGCTTGGACGTAGCTGAGGATGATGAGTGATTTGGAAACTATCCGTTTACTACAGTAACACGCACCGGCCGCTGAGAAACTCGGCGTTGCGGGCGGTCAGCCAAAGATAGGTTGCGGCAGGCAACTCGATCGCATCGGCCATCGGGTAGACGCCTTTCAAGCCTGCACTTTCTACAAAGCTTGCAGCGCCGGGTGTCATCGTGGATCCAGGATGGACGGCGTATATCGTTATCTCAGGATAATCTGGATGCGATTGTCATCATGCGTGTATACAGGTCGGAAGACGAAATGGCATACCAAGCGCGAGGATCTCGACGAAACGATTGATGGTGTGTTTGCTGACCTGTCGGAAAAATCAGCGCTCAGATCGATCGCAGCTAGTCAACGCATACACTGTAATCTGCGATCAGTGGCTGGCGTACGTGCGCCACGGTGGAAGATGTTACTATGATCTGACCCTTCGTCTTCAGAAGCTCTGGAATAGACGGGCTATAGAGGTTGAGCGTGAGAGATGTATGTACACACTGGTGATTCTGTGCTTACTGTATGATGTTCAGAACTCCCCGCACATTGACTTCCTGTGTGTGCCACCATCGCAAGAGGTCCTTCTCGCCGAACCCTGGGAGCAGCGTTAGCATGTGTGGCGTACATGGAGATGACAGAAGCGCCGCACTGCCTGTGCCTCCCATCAGAGTGGCCGAGTTGGCGATGACGATGTCAAGTCTTCCCCAAGCGGATAGAGCAGCAGCAACAACACGCTTGCCAACCTCAGGATCGGTGATGTCCCCAGCAACCAGCACAATTTGAGCGTCGATGACGTCTTTCTCAATGGCTGCCTTCTGAGCTTCGAGATTGTCGAGACCGCGAGCGTTGATGACAACCCTAGCGCCGGCTTTCGCGTAGAAGAGAGAGATGCCGGCGCCGATACCCATCGACCCGCCAGTAATGATGACGACCTTGTCCTTGTATCTTATAAACAAAGGAGCAGGCGCTTCGGGCAGAGACAAACGCCAGAGTCATTCCGGCAACCTGATTGGCTGGCTGGCCCAAGACGCGCCGCGCTGACGTCGCTTGCGCAGCGCACAGCATTCTCGAACGTTCCTTGCCTCTGCCGCCCACGTCGCTACTTTCTGTGCTCCCGTAAGTAGTAGACACCTTCCGAATCCGAAAATTCGAATGTACCACATAATGTATGTGGCTGAGTGCCAGAATGAGTACGCGCTTTACGTCAGAAAATACACGCCAGGGTCATTCCGGCAACATGATTGGCGACGCGACCGTCGCGTCCGCGAACATCCAGGAACATCCTCGAGCTACGCCACTCGGCGTATTGGGCGCAACACATTTTACTGAGTGCAAGGCGGGGTGTTGTATGGTCTGCGGCTGCGCGGTACTATACGGACATGGACGGATGGGACGACACGCTCACGAAAACATGGCACAAAAAGCGTCGCGATGCACTAAATCCGTCGACGGCGAGCTGAGCGCGCAACGGAAACCGCCCTAGGCAGATACCCGATACTGGGCACATGGACGGGTATGGAAGTTGGACGCAGGACAACTCATACTGTACTATGTAGTCAGTCCGTGTGAGCTTAGCCGCACGACGCGTTGTCAGCGACGCGACGCGACGCGACGCGACGGCAGATCAACGCGTCGGACGCGTCGACGTCAAGCTGTTCGCGTCGCGAACTTTCTCGAATCGTGTGTCACCCAGTGCGCGCAGCCACAGGCAGAGCTCCGCTACCCGGGTGTAAGGACTGCACGGAAGCCGGGTGCAGAGTATGGCAGGTGGCGCTGCAAGGCAAGCGCTGCAAGGTAAACCGCGACCTCTCTGATACTTAGAACCGGCTCCAATCTGTTCTGTATGAGACTGGAGGCTGGATAACAGCTGAAGCACTGACGATACACCCCGACGCGAATGACTCGGCGCGAAGTAGAGATTAGGCGCCGGGCGCAGAGCATGCTACTGGGTATAGAGCTGCGGGCAAGCTAGGGCTTTGGGCAATATGATAGAATTGAGCGAAGGAGTCACCGGATGCAAAGGAAACTGCTGAATGTATGGCACAGATAGTATACTGGGTGCAGGGTACGTTTACGGGCAACCGTCAACGGCAAGCCCGTGCGGAGCACGGGTCTGCGCTAGTGTCGTATAATGTGACCCTATGCTTCCACGCATGTCGTCCAGGAAAGTCAAATCCTACCTGCACGCTTTGTGCGGGATCGCGTCGCGTTGAATGTGGTCGGCATACTGTGCATCCAAGATGCTTGCCGTACACAGAACGTGTATGGGTTTAACCCGCCCTTCACGGCACTGGCAGGGTCTCGGCACGCACCGGCTCTGTGTCGCGCAAAATGCGCTTCGTTTCGTCATGTTCCTCCATGCAATACAACCGGCTGCCATGACTGAACGGGGCCGAATGTTCAGTCCGCCATGGACGGAGACGTAAAAACATCGAAGACAGACATACAGTTGGTAGAACATTCCCAGCTCATAGAGTGGATCGCTAGCAATCGATGGACGGGCCGCATGTGTGGGTTTGTGTTGTGTTTGATGGGCGGGTGAGCGTATCCTAGCCCGGTATACGCGGCACGAAAAATCATCGCGTAAAACTGGTGTATGAGCGTTTGGGTATCTGGGAAGGGGACACTCCACACGTTCCTAGCTGTGCTCGATGGCACGATGAGTAGACGGTATCCTTCCACAAGTACACTTCGTTCATTCCGAACTGGCGCCAAGCACCATGGCGTGGGCACCAGCATCAAACAACGGTAACATGTATTGAACCCAGGCCCTTGCTTTCATCTGCCGACAATGGACTGAACGCGTCAGCCAACAACTCCGCCGTATAGCATTCCAACTCATATCGAGTCTAACTCCGCCCTACGCCAAAAATGGCGACCATGCATGGGCGCTTGCATCCTTCTCTCGAAGTTGAAGTCGATATCTTGATCGCAAATAGTGTGTGTGTATAAGTATGGAGATCAAATTAAGCGCCTTGACAGCCAGTCGAGAACTAATCCATAACCTCAGTGGTGCTCAGAAGCGGGTGCTTCCTTGACCGGCTTGGGCCCGAAGACGCCAGCACCAATGAAAGAACCAACGAGTATGCCGACGAGGCCCCAAGCGCCCTTGCGTTCCTCATCGGTCAAGTCGCGCGTCTTGGGACGAACAGTGCCCTTATCGAGGTTTGCAGATACACCATCCGCAACCAGGGTCTGTGCGGATGATTTAGCCTCCACGAGCGCCTCTTTGGCAGCAGGCAAGCCGAGAGTGCGCGGGATCCCAATATCGTCTAGAACGTCGTAATACAGCCCGCGGAGACCGGGAGCGTTATTGGGAGCGGGTTGTGAAGTAGAGACCGAGGCCGGGGAGATCGAAGAGATGGCGTCTTCGGCCACGGAGACCATGTTGGATGCCGCATCCTTTGTTGATTCACCGCCTATAACAAGAATCTTCGGGATGGGTATGTCGGTCGGCGCGGAGTCGGTGGAAGCTGAATTCGGCTTAGCCGAGTCATAGTAATCGAAATATAGAGGCTGAAAGGGAGAAGTTGAGTATGACGTATATCATCGCATGTTGGTTTGCACGCACAATCTGCACGGGCTCCTCAACAACCTCCTTGGAGAGATCCGGAAGCTGCACATTCAGAGTGTCGACAGAGTATGATTGGGTGTTGGTGGGGATCGCCGCCGGCGGAGGTGGAGGAGTTGAAGTGGACGCAGCAGGCTTGGCTTCCGTGGAGGCGCTCCTTGTCTGCACGGGAGTTGCAGCCGTAGGCGCTGCGGGACTGGTCTGATCCGTCTCGAACTCCCGAATACGCGTAATGAGCGTCGCCTTGTTACCCTTCCTGCACATCAGTTAGCACGCATTCCCGAACCAAATAAGCGCCCAGGAATACTCACGCGGAAAGTCCGCGTTTTTTGAGCTCGTCCCTCAAAGTGACAACAGACTCAGTTTCCCACGACCGGTTGAGTAGTACAGTAGAGACCAAAGAGCGTGACTGAAGGCGCGCAGGGTGCGCATGACGCGCGGCTACGCGGAGAGACGAGGAGAACATGGCTGGCGGAGGAGAGTTCTGGAAATATTGCCTCCGCAAACAACCGACGCTTGATGTCATTTCCCACGCGTGCTTATGCTCTCCACATTATTTCGTTTCAGATCAGAGTTTGTACGCATCGCGAGTGAGACCGACGCGACGTCGCAGGGATGAATGCAAGATCGGAGAGAGGCGAGAAGATATCTTGGATTGCTGGAAGAATTGGGAAGATGCTGGAGGGAGTCAAGATGGTCGATCGATATGGGCATGGGCTCAGGGTTGTCGGCAGCAGACACAAAAGTAACTTACCTCCCGCTCCCACTGCTCTCTACGACTAGCCCGCACACGCCCACAACACGAGCAGGCCATGCTCGCCTCCCCTGCGTCCGTGTGCCTTGTACCCGATGCTTCGTGCTCTTCTGAACCGTAATCGCAGATCTTCCAGCGCCACCCTTCCAAACAGCGGTGGCTGGTGGGGCAAGTTTGGCGGTAAGGGCGGCGGAAAGAAGGAGACACCGCCGCCTCCGCCTCCGCCCCCGCCTGCACCCATGACACCAGCCGCCGCACCCAACATGGCTTTGACACGGCAACGTCTCCTAACACTGGTATTCGGCGACATGGAGACCGTCCGCATGGTATGTACCTTGCCACAGTTTAAGCTGGCGAACCATTGCTTATTCGGATCTATTCAGCTTCCTCCATCATTTGTTGTGCGTATAACGCATGAACATACTCTACACTCCGATACTCAATAGCTACTTCAGGAACTCGAGCAATTAGCCCGTGATTGGACCAAGCCTCCGCCGGGCACACCATTTACTTTGCGAGTTCCCATCGATTATGTACACATCCAGACTGCAGTACGTTCTTGATTCTCGCCGGGTTGACCATAATATCTCACAAACGCTTCAGCGTCTCGTTTCTGGCGATTATGTATACGTACGAATATTTCGTGACCTTTTGGCGCCTATGCTGACAGATCACACGTAGCTTACCGGCGAGGATTCATTCCAGATCGCCACTATGGGTGTCCCGGGTCTTCGGGTAGAGATTATTGCAGACGCGCCACCCCCAGCCGATGAGCCGCCTCCGCCTCCGTACGTCCAATGACTGGCATCTTCTATTCGCACGCGCCTAATGACCGATCTGGTAGTCCACCTCCCGTTCTCGATATGCCCGCGAGCTTCAACTTAGAACTCGAGCCGGGTCAAACCGTCGGCCTAGACGTCATTGTTTCTTCGGACGAGTTGGATATGGCACGCATGGAAGACGGTACGACGGTGGATGGTACCTTCTTCGGGAAGTTGCACATCGTGCATGACGGCGACACCCACACTATGGACTTTACTGGCACGCGCGTTGCACCGGATGCCGTCCCTCCAAATATGCTCGTCGATAGCCGAGCAGTCGCAAAGCTCGCCGAGGCCGGCAAACCTCCCGTTGCCAAGTGCCGCGTCTCGCTTCTTGCGCCGACAATGCAGTACTGCGAGATCATCTTGTCATGCACCCCGATGTGGTCACTTGGTATCACATGGCCGCCAGCAGAGCATCTTGAGGACGGGAAGGTCAAATACTTCCTGCGCGTGCACCCCGGAGGTGGATTTGAGCACTTCGAGACGGAGATGGTCTCGACGGCCATATACTACGAGGCCATGCCGGATGCGACCATGCTCGACCCTTACGAGTTCGTTGCACCCAGGAACAGCTTTGCCATGTCCTTCCGCGACTTTGTACCCCATATCATGAACGTTCTTGACCAACTGGGACTATCCGTCCATGCACGCACTGAGTTCCTTAAGTACGTCTGGCTTGCTCATTTCTCACTGTAACTCATCTGACGTATCACTCAGCACGCACCTCCACGACTTCTCCCGACACCAAAACATCGCGTACCGCTTCCTGTCCCCCATGCGCGTTGCATCTGCGATCGACATGTCCGTCTCGGCCGACCCATGCAACTTCACGCGACTCTTCCTCATATACCGCGGCGTAACGGAAGACGACATGGCCAACTTTGGCGGCTCAGGCGAGAAGGAAGCCAACGCATACAACTGGCGCGAGGTCGTGGGATGGTCCGAAAACTCGAAGGACCCGAACATGTTCCGCGTGCTCGAGACGGCTGTGCTCGAAGTTGGCGGTTGAGCCCGCCTTTGTGCGATGCATGTGGCCGGCTTCCTGATTGTACAGTTCCACCTATCTCTCTATCCTTCGTCTTCACGACCTCACGCCTATGCTTGTCCACGACTCGACTACGTACATACCCCGTCCGGCCGCCCATTATCCGGCTAATACCTGCCACTGTCCGCCTCGCTGCTGCTGTGATCGCCGCATCTCGAACTCGAATCTATCGACCGCTGTCTATTCCTCAATATGCTCCGCTGCTGCCCCGGCTCCTGCTTCGTTCACGATTGATCCAGTATAGCCCCTACCACGTTCTCTCGGTACCATCCTCTCTCATTTTTCCTATATCTCTCGTCGGTGTTGTATGGCAGGTTCTTACACACAATCTCTTTACCTCACGTTTTGTGCTCCTGTCCCTGTGTCATAGTGTGTTGTCTCTCGCCCCGATGTTCAGTAGGACCCATGTAGTCGGTTCGCGTGCTTATCTACCCTCCTCACTTGATATCCGGTCCCTCTGTATCCACAGTTCTTTCCTCTAACTGTGTTTTTAGATCATTTCCTTGCTATCCATTCCATACCTACCCGAATGCAGTACTGTTCCCTAACATCAACACGCGCAATGTCGGTGTAGCAATGTGTACATTCTGATCCATATATTCGAGGTTGATGCATGATATGTTTCCGCCTTCCCAGCTTACTTCTTGCGGGCAATGACGACCAGCGTCTTGTACGGGTACTCAAAGGTGCCCTTCTCCTTGTCTATCCACTTAAGCCCGTCACCCTTCGCAACGATCTCTTCAAGCTTCTTCACAACGCCCGCCTTGGTCTCCGGGTCGAGCACGGCGACGTAGCTCTTGCTCTGCGCGCGGTCCTTGACGATATCAAGGCTGCCCTCGAGCGCCCACGCCCACGTCTCTTCCTCCGGTGGCGCAAAGTTATCTTTGTAGCCTTCGGTGTCGTACAACGCGCGCCAGAGACCGTGACGGAACTGCGGTGCACCCTTCTCATACTGCTCGTAGGCGTCCCGCAGCTGAGCAACCCAACCCGCGGCTTCACTGCAAATGATCTCTAGCATCAACATACGCTCGGTGAGGTCTACGGCTTTCATGTACGTACCGATCTTCCAGGTTCCAGATCAGCGCAAGAACGCCTCCCGGCTTGAGCACACGGGCGAACTCCCTCGCCGGCGCATCGTAGTTCGGGTGGGCCCAATGGAACGCCTGAGCAATGATAACCGCATCCACACTACTGTCCTCTCCTCCGATGCTACTGAAATGGCCTTCACGCTGGCTAACGCGTTCGTCCTTGACAGTCTTGGCGAACTGCGCGCGCATGCCCTCAGAGGGCTCGACAGCGACCAAGGACTTCACGGAGGATTTGAACGACGGGTGCGCGAGGAGTGCGCGCGTGAAGATGCCGGTGCCAGAGCCGACTTCGATGATGTCGGCCTGTTCGGCGGGGATGGCTGACCGGATGTGCGCGATCGCCTCGGGACGGTACGACGGGCGCGCGCTATGTGCAGTATGCGCTCAGATCTGGCCGTGCCTTGCGCGGTGCAACCTACCGGTCATAGAGCTCATTGGTACCGGTACCGAAGCCGGTAGCAGCCATCTCATGAATGGGCGTCGACATGATTGGGGTATTGGAAAGGTAGCGATTGTGAACGCGGGTGGCGCGGCTATATAGTCTGGGGGAGTTCTATAATCGTTGCGTCAGATAGGTATCGGCCGAAATGCAGCATGAGTCGATAGGGGCACGCGGCTCGATCTCACACGATTCTACGCAATAGTACGCTCGAAGCACGAGCACGAGACAGAGAGAAGGACATGTTCCGCGCGATCTGACGAGGAAAGAGTCAAAGGGAGAGCCGTCAGGTTAAGTTATATGCGGTTCCAATCGACGGTACCGGCCCCGCGGATGGCCGTAGAACCGACGGCTCATCTTTGCAAACTCGAAGACGCTGGCTCTGACCACACATATCTCGATAGCCCTCTCCTCACGCAGGCTATTCGATATGACGTGCATGCCGTCCTTACATCCCAGCTGAATAGTCTCTGAGAGGTGGAAGCGATCAAGAAACAGCCTGTGGGTCTGAGCTTGCAGCATCGTTCGGCGATCGGACAACATTCAGCGTGGGAGCATTTTCGCGGTAACGTGACCGGAGCGTGACGTTTGTTGATCATCAGCGAATCACCCGCTAGCGCGATTTGTGGTCTGCGACGCGTTTTGCCTCTTCACCACAACCTACCACACCTGCTACACCCATGTCTAGCATCAGGCGAACTTACAGCTCTAGAAGCACCCCAGCACATCGCTCGTCTTCCCCGTCCGGGCTTGATTCATCGTCGCCGAGGCTCTCCTCGAAGCGGCCCCTAGCCGAACCTTCAACTCTAGCCAATACTCGCCCCCTGAAGCGATCTCGCACATCTACCTCTGACATATCCAAGTCTCAATCCGCAAAGTCTGGAAAGACCAAGAAACCCCAGGCCAAACTCACGCAACTACACTTCGCCATCGACACGTCCATACTCAAGACATGTGCGAAATGCAATCTCACGTTCACGAAGGGTGCACCCGAAGACGAGACTTTGCATCGTGCACACTGCGCACGTGTACAAAGGGGTGCGGAATGGGGCAGGGAGGAGCAACGTGAGGCGGTCAAGGCTGGTGTGGTGGAGATCGAGTCGGACGTGAAGATCAAGGGTGGGCGGAAAGGACGGATCATTGCTGTTCGCGCAGACTCGACTGGCAAGATTGGTTCCAAAGTAAGACATCTACTTGTGTATTTGCTTTTCGCATCTGCTGACTGACTCGGGGTGACAGATTGCCATGCTACTCGAGACCATCAGCCTCAACCTATCCTCGCCACCGCTGAGCAACGACATATTGCGCGTCTCCAAACTATACCTATTCTTACTGCCGACATCTGGAGCATCAACACGAGAGACTATTGCCGGATGTGTTGTCGCACAACATATCGAGACGGCTATGGCCATCGCGCCACCAGAAGCCTCCGACACAGCCACACCAGAATCGTCGCCATCTGTGGCAAACCTGGTGGTCGTCGACACGGACACCGGTCTGAACTGCCTGCCCACACCTCTACCGACGTCAATGGGCATCCCTCGATTGTTCGTACCAACCGCATACCGTCGCTTCGGCATCGCACGGACATTGCTGGATGCTGCTGCCCGCACATTCATACATGGATGCAAGCTGGACCCGCGCGTCGGAGACGTCGCCTTCACGCAACCCACGCAATCGGGACAAGCAGTGATGGAAAGCTGGGGTGGCGGAGGAGTACGCATATATCAGGAGTAGACTAAGTAGGACTTTACTCGAGTCTATGCTGAGCCTGCTTGTGTATTTCACGCCTGTATCATTATCTTGTATCTTGTATATATGGACTTCGCTACCCGTCTACTTCATGTTCACGGTGGTAACAAGCCGTGGAACTCTCACGGACAGCACCACGTTTATTGATCATTCATCAGCGTTTCTAGTATCATAAGTTGGTCTCTACCACCACCACGAAGCTTTAGTCGACCTTCTCGCGGAACACTGACCTATGCCTGCTGATAGTATGTCCGTGCTCTTGGTACGAACGACGTATCTGATCCATTGACACTATCGTAGAGAACCTATTACTTGCATATCCACGAGAGGCGTGGTCTAGCAGTGGTTCTCTTAACTACATCTTAGTCTTGTGAGTCCCGCTCCGCTCTAGGTCATAAGCTATTGCACTGAGTCATGTGCAGTGGAGGTGCGCTTACTGCCGATAGGGATTATTCATGACACTGAATTGACTATAGACTCCTACTCTGCTCATGATGCCACTTGGGTACGTACAGGCTACTCAAGATACCTCCATAACTTGTCCACTAATTAGTCCTACACCTCATCGACAGATCGGTCATCTTACTCGCTCAAACCTTCTGGAAACCGTGCCCGACGTACAGATCCACGCTTTTGACGGCGCTAGCGTAGAGGAGGACTTGGATAGCCAGATCGCTCGCTTTCACGCCACAGCGAAGACGTTCGCGGCAGACCAAACGACGTATTGTCCGTGACCTTGATTCGCATGTGCCTATGCGTCCTCCCTGACATTTTACCCAGTCTTCTTCTTAGGCATCAACGACTGCGGGCAGACCGACACAGACGACCTCGACTCAATTGTCGAACTCCTTCTTGATGCTGTGCACAACCTCTACGTCAAGGACGGCGCTCGCAACTTCGTCTTCTTCGATGTACCACCGACAGACAGATCGCCAGGAGGTGCCACATCACATCCGGCCTCGCAGACTGATCCTGCGCTGACATGTACTCAAAGCAATAGCTATCGAGTCCGAGGAGACCATGATCAACCGTACGACGGCATGGAACGACTCCCTCCGACGCCGCGTCGGAGAGTTCGCGGAAGAAACACCGCGCGCGAGCGTCTTCCTGTTCTCTACGCACGCTGTCCTTAGCTCGATACTCGACGATCCGAGCCTGCACGGCTTTACGTCTGACGATATCGCACGAGAAGGCGGGGCGATTTGGGAGGATGAATTGCATCCGACGACGGAGGTGCACGCAATCATAGCCGACAAGCTTGCGCATGCATTAGTCGGCGACGGTTTAGAGTGAAGTTGAGGGCCGTCGGCGCATGCTTTCGCCGTCACAGGCAGATGTTTGTTTTGCACGGGATGATTGTCTTTCGCACTGCACAATAAATATGTGATACATGATGTCCGGTTGACTATATCTAGAAGAACAGCTTGAAGGGGTACCCTGCGACCGTACGTGAGTGAATGTACATGCAGGTGATACTGGGCGCAGCATACCTGGGTTCTTCAGCTTGAAGATGGAGATCAGGGCCGAGAACATGAAGAAGGTCAGGCCGGTGAAGAAGTACGTCTTGGTCGTTTGGAGAGCGGGCGACGAGTTGCGAGGTACGAAATGTACAAGACCGACAAAGGAGAACGCCAGAATGCCGTCTAAATATCGCCGTTAATAAAGACTTATTTTTAGGACGGGCACGAGCATACTCACAGAAGAACGACAATAGGTACACCTCCTGGCCGAACTGGTTCTGGTAGCCACCAGCAATAGCTGCACCGTTCGGACCGACTGCCGGCACGCCACGGATTTTCGTGAACATGTATCCCGAGGTCATGGTCAACATCGTGATCACGGTGATGAAACCCCAAGTCCAGCGTGATACGAGGATGGGGGCGATGAAGCGGATGGTGAGCCCTGCTGCAACGAGGCCAAAGATAGAGGTGATCCAGAAGCCCCAGCGGATCGGTGCGCGGTAGGGAATGGGCTTTGGTGTATGTTGGGAGAGTTGACGAGCAAGCGGCTCGGCGTCGAAGCCACTGGATTCGATGCATTAGCACATATCTGGAGAAGAAGTGGCGCGCCATACGCGGAGAAGTCGTTGAGGATGGGCGCGTCGGGCTTGGCGACCTTGCGCGGTCCGGCAGCAGCGCCAAAGTTCATGACCACAGGCGCGGTCTGCAGACCCATCTGCGCAGCTCTTGTAAGCGCGCATCCAATGGCACATTGGAATGAATGCATACTTTCTGGAACACCTCTGGGGTGTTGTCAAAGTCGGCGGTGGCGAAGAAGTGCTGGTTACGCTCTGCCTTGGGGACCGATGTCCAAGCCTTTGCTACGGCGCGCCATGAAGGGTCAAACTCCCTGCATCAAGTCTCAGAATTGGTGCGCAGCAAGTCAGGAATAATCCAGGTATGCGTACTTGCACGGTGCACATCGACGCTTCTTGTCCAGAGCAGTGAACTGTACAGAGAACGACCAGTCGCGATTTGGGCTGCTCAAGAGTCCGTATGTCTTGGTGTCCAGATTGATTACGCCATTGTTGCTAGCGGCGAGCTTGGCGAGCGTGTCCTGCGTGCTCTGGGCGCCGACTGCAGCCGCCAGACAGGCCAACAGGGCGGCGAATAGACCAAAGGAGCGCATTGTGCGACCCAGAGATTGTGACCGTAGGAGGCAAGTTAAGTTTAGAGTAGGCGTAACGTGGCAGGCTTCGGGGCGCGTCAGACGCGTTCACTTCAACTCGAACAAGCTCATGAGCGCGCGACCCGCCGCGTCCGCCTCGGATATAGCCATCGCCCGCATCGTCGGCCTCTCTCCCCCACCGCCACGACGGCGACGGCTGCCCTGTCCATAGCGTGCACTGGCCACAAGCTATGTCGCACGCCCTCCTCCTCCGCCTCTTTCTCTCCCCGTCCTTCTTCTCCGTACATGTGGCACTCCGTTACCTCAATACATACTCGGACAATATTGGAATCACCTACTACCTGACACGGAGGCTGTCGGAGTACTCGGTCGAGGAACTGCGCGACGTGTGGGGATTTATCTGGTGCGTTGATGCGCAGCGGCGTGTATAGGAATGCTATAGCTTTACCCCGCACACAGTCACTTGTTGGTCTCGCGTCCCTCCCAGTCCCGCGCGCTCGAATGTTTTGTAACGGATATATCCCGCAAGTCGACCCATATAGCTCTCATTGTACGTCGCATCACAGCTCGTCATATCGACATCTGAACTCACACGCGATAGACGCTATGGTTTATGCAGGCCGCACTCCAGGACTTCTCGGCAAACCCGCAGAGTCCACAAGCTCTCATCTGCCAACGCACTCTACTCATGTGTCACGAGCTCATTTTTGGCGATCTACCACCGCCAGACACCATCCCATACCCCAGTCTCGCGACAGGTCCCCGTTCACGTCCCCTCTTCGCACGAAAGAAGGTCAAGCCTCACGCCATACCGGCGTTCATTGGAATAGGCATGTTCATGGCTGGCTCTATGGCACATCCCAGATTGGCGAACATCATGGTGCCGGTTGCTATTGAGCAGGGCCGGGCGGACCTGTTGGGCTCGGACCTGAGGAGTCTGCAACGAAACGAGGAGGATGTGGCACCTAGCGCAGCTACTTCGTCGCTATCTCTGAGTAAAGAGTCTGGCGAGGGGACCGACTCGGACGAAGAACCGGCTACACCTGCACAACCCACCTCCGACTCTTCGCCAGAATCAAGTGCGCGGAAGCGCTCTCCACGGCGGAAGTTGCCACTTCATGGCGCTGCGAGCACCAGCCCTTCATTGCCGATGCATCTGAAGAAACCGCGTAAACCGCGATTCTCAGACGATCCTCTAGGCCAACTCGATCAGGATGAGGTACCTAAAGTGGCGACATACTCCTCGCCCGCATTGTCCTCGGCAAGACAAGCACGAACGTCTTCATCTTTGAACGAGCAAGAGGCGTTGTTGGCGAAGTATGCACCGCAAGCCCAGAGGGAACTCTTGCGGAAACACTTCTGTCGTTCTGAGGTCAGTGGCGTAGGGTTTTTGGCCTGCGAGTGGATAGTAGTTGACGAGCACACTATAGGTCCAGTTTATCTTGACATTGGAGAACATCTCAAATCGACTACTCGTGGTACCCAAACCAGCACGAGTGAGCGCATTACGTGCCGAACTCACGGCTCTGAACCATAAGTTACCAGCCGAAGTACGTGTACTGTTTGCATCATATTCTTCCAATCCTCACACGTTCGCTCTAGGTTTGCATGCCATTGTGGTGCTCAAGCGCAGATGGTGTCGGGAACACGAACGATCCTTCCGGTGCACATCACCGCATCGTCCGAATACCTCCGGGTGAATGTGTGGTTCTCAACTCCGCCGAGCGTGCTCCGTATCTATTGCTCGTAGAGATCTTACATGGTGACCTCGACTTCGACCCTGCGAAACGCAACAACCGTGGTCTATTACAGAAGCTAGTAGCCGCGGACAACGATCACTCTGGCTCCTCCAAAGATCTGTCTCCATTCGCACCCACACCAGCCCCCATCATGGGCCGCGGCCACTCCTTTGCGCTACCTAGTCGCACCGCTTCCCTGGACCCTCGCGACGTCGCTTTGGGGAGTCAATCACAGGACGGACCCGTGACGCCCATCATTCCCCCATCCCCAACCATGCCCGCTTCTCCCCTACAAGACGAGCCAGAAGAAGAGGAGATCGACCTGGTCGAACAGCTCTATGGCGCAGAGGGTTCTCTCAAAGCTCCAATCGATCTCTCCGACAACCTCGTCCTCCCGCCTGCGCCGAAGAATCGCGATCTCGATCTTGCAGCCTGGTCAAGAGCAGGATCACCCGGCACGCCAATGCTCGAGAACGGACCTTCATCCTCTGGACACGGACACGTTCAAACGCTATCAATACCGGGATCATCTCGCGCACCTTCCACCCAGACATCACCTCGTAAACCGGGCGAACTTTCGTTGCAGGATTACTCCGACCGCATGCGTACAGCCGCCGTCATGCTCGCCCAGTTGAACGCCAATATGGTACCCGACGCGCCTGCACCACACGAACGCTCGAATAGCAATAGCGGTGTGTTGGGTTGGTTACCCAGTAGCAACTGGTTTTCCCTTCTACCACCCTCAGAACCAACCGAGCCTACCTCCGTGCCACCCTCGCCACATCCCGGCGCCAGCTCCGATGCTCCAGGCCCGCGACTGAAGCTGCAAGCAACAGAAGCAGCCGCAATTCGAGAACGTATCATGGACGAGATGTTGGCGCTGGAGGAGGAACGTATGGAACGCATGCGCGAGCGACAGGAAGAGCCCGATTTCGGACGCGCATCGCTTGCGGGTGGAGGTGGCGGCGTCGCGACGACTACGGCTGAGGACGAGAGCGTCATTCGACGAGCGTTGACGAGGACAGATCCCAGCGCTTTGGTGTTCTCCGAGAGCTGGGCGGCGAAGCGTGCGCGGGTGCGCCAGGCGAGTCCGTATGGGCACCTCGCGTCGTGGGACTGCGCGAGCGTCATCGTCAAGACGGGCGGTGATCTCAGGCAGGAGCAGCTCGCGTGTGCGCTTGTGCTGGAGTTCTCGAGGGTATGGAAAGAGGAGGGTTGCGCGTGCTATGCGCGACCATTCAGGATCCTTATCACGGGCGGGAGTAGCGGACTCATCGAGACTATCACCGACGCTGTGTCTATACATTCGATCAAGAAGGCGGAGTACGCGAGGAGGCTTACGACGGGCAATGGGAACCTTGGGCATGTCACATTACTCGACCACTTCAAGAACGTACGTACACGGCTAAAGTCACTTGTGGATGTCGCTGACGGGCTCGTAGACCTACGGCGACCCGTCGTCCGCCAAGTTTGCACGGGCACAACGGAACTTCGCCAAGTCACTAGCTGGTTTGTCCTTCTTCTCATGTATGGCCCTGAACCTCACCTAATTTCATCGTCATAGGCTACTCCGTGATCACCTACCTACTGCAGATTAAGGACCGTCACAACGGCAACATCCTCCTTGACCGTGAAGGCCACCTCGTACACATCGACTTCGGCTTCATGCTCGCGAACAGCCCAGGAAACATGGGCTTCGAAGCCGCACCCTTCAAGCTTCCGCTCGAGTACGTCGACGTACTCGGCGGACTAGGTGGCGCACCCTTCGCCGAGTTCCGACGACTGTTCCGAGAAGGTTTCGAAGCCGCACGCAAACACTGTGACCGCATCGTCACTATGGTCGAGCTCATGCAGCACGACAGCACATTACCGTGTTTCGCCGCGTTCGGCGAGCAAACTGCGCAGCTGCTCCGCGATCGATTCCAGCAGAAACTCACGCAGAGTTTGGTAGAGGAGCACGTCGAGCGCCTCGTTGATACGTCGCTTGGCTCACACTGGACACGATTGTACGACTCAGTAAGTGTTCGATCTTTTGTGCGTCTACAACAGGAAAACTGATGCACATCGCAGTATCAATATTACTCGCAATCCATATTATAGCCCTTTGTTCAACTTCTTGTCACGTCCGTTGCTTGTTTGTTCTATCGCATACATTGTCGCACTAGCTATCATGTTTCGCATCGCAACATCATTCTCATACCCGTCTGAAGCTCTGCGGGAGTGCCAGCATTCGCAGTTTGTACCATACACGCCTCTCCTCCCGAAAGTGTTCAGCCGATGGCGCCTGCCGAATGCGATGCATGACTCTGAGCAAGGAGGATATAGTACAGTAGCAATGTACGTATGCGATAGTGGTGATCAGGCAGAGAGGTGGATACAACCCCTGATACAGTAATGCTACAGTTAGATGGTGGGGGCTCCAAGGCCTCCAACGCCCTCGGTCTACCCAGCGAGTCCCCTGACGCGCCCCTTCACCCATAGCTCAGGCAATTCAATCTCATCAACCCCATCCCTCGTATATGCCTTCCACCGCTTCACAAGTTCCCCGGCCAGGAACGGCGCAATTTCCTGTGTCCGTGTCCCAACAGTGATATGCAGCCTCTCCCGGATCGTCTGCGGCAATAGCGAAACAAACTCCGCGCCCCTCTGATCCTCATCCTTTTCTACCTCCAGCTCTTCCGCAACAAGCGCCATGACGTCTCCGTCACAAAGTACGCGACCAAGTTTGACCTTAAACGTTGGTGCCAACGATGATTTGTATAGCGCATCGCAGCGATCCCAGGTGTCGCCTTCCTCGTCCTTCAACTTGGCGTGCGTGATCGTAATGTGTGGCCTGTCGGTCACCCTCTTGTCCTCCTTAAGCTGTGCCCAGAACTTCTTCGCCTGCTCAGGCGCATCGGCACTAGATAATGCTCCGTCCAGTGCGCCGCGCATGTCGAACTCGGGTAGCAGTCCAAAGTACCGCACGGGTACACTCTTGGGCTTCTTCGCGTCCGTGGTCTTAGGCTTATACCCGCGTATCTTCGCCAACGCCTCGCCGATCCTCTCCGGACTTGGCCTCTCCACCTTCAAGACACCAACGATCCCATCGATAGCTCGAGCAAGCGAGTCTTCCAGTTCCTCGCTCACGTCCATCTCGATCGTCTCGTCAACCTCTCCTTCCGCGAGCTCCTCGGCGTTATTGATGAACTGCCAGATCACATCCTCGTGCGCCTTGGCGGCGGCATCTCCATGCAGAGATTGGTGGTTCGTCCCGCGCTCGAGAACGCGGTCGGCGCAGATGCGGTGGATGGTAGCTTTTGGGAGGTCATCGAGGGCCCAGTGTAGTGCGAGGAGGCGTGCGGGAGGTTTGAGACGTTTTGCGACATCTCGTAGTTGTTCGCGATGCTGCTGTAGATGGTTGTTTCTGCGCGACGTTAGCGAGCACATAGAAACAACATGCATGACATGCTTACTTGTCGGCAATGACCACATCGTGTTTGTCGAGCAGGTTGGTGACATTCTTGATGAATGCGGGAGCAGCCTTCTTCGCCTTGACATCGTCGCTTTGCGTATGTCCAAAGCCAAAGAGATGCGCCAATGCGACGGCGATAGCGGTCTTGCCAACGCCCGGAATGGCGATGGGCACGATGATGGTCTTTCGTGGCTCATCATCGGCAGGTGTCTCCTTCGCAGCCTCTTCGACCCCCTCTTTATTCCCCTTCTTTCCTTCGTCACTCTCCAACCACGCCAAGAACTTCTCGCGCGTACTGATAATCCCTCTCCCCTTCGTATACTGATCAAACTGCTTCCTATCCCTCTTGATCTCCTGCGTCACCCACTTCACATACAACTTCGTCTCCGCCCTCTTCATCTTGCTCTTTGGGAGCTTCGCATCGTCCGGGCCTGTTTTACTCGAGAGGAGGGTTTTGGTGACTTCGCGCCAGTCGCGGTACATCATGTACGGCTCGTCGAACTTGACCTTGAAGAAGAAGTCCGTGCCGGGGGCGTAGGGTGACGCGGATTCGCCTCCCCTTTTGCCTCCAGGTGGATGCGAAACTGTCGTGCGCACGACAAAGCCCTCCAGCGCCTCACCCCTCCATTTGCCCGTCTTCGAGACTTCGTCCGTGAATGAGCGGACTTCTTCGACGCTGTTGAGAGAGGTAGAAAGAGTGACGATCATGCCCCAGTCTCGCGCAAAGGCGTCGACGACAGAGGGTGGTTGTGTTTGGAATGCGCCCGATGAAGTGTTTAGGCCGTGGAGATGCAAGCCGGCCTTGTCGCGCCCGTAAGGCAAGACGTGTTCTTCAAACTCGTCGTCGCAAAGCTACGAGTTTCATCATGAGCAGTCTACCAACATACAAGGTGTCACGAGCGTACCTCAGCCACTGCCGTCCAGTTCTTCTCCCACAGCTCCTTCGCGAGATCCTCCTTCGTCTTGCCGACCGTCTTGAGGTGATGTTCGAGCCATCGCTCACCGGCTTGAGCGTGGCTCTCTTTCACATTTGCGACAGGGCCGAGGGAGTGCTTCGAGCAGACGATGAGCTTTTCGGGCGAGAGTGGCGCGATGAAGATGATGCAGCCGTTAGACTTGAGCGTTAGAGTGTACGGCGGTTTTGTGTGCTCTTCCAGAGACGCCCACTATAGAGATAGTTAACACCGTGTCTACATCGAGTCTACATTGACGACGCAGAGTACAGACTCACGGTGGTCCACGGAACCTCCCCAATGTTGAAGAATTTATCGTATCCCCGCGCCACAACGACATATCGATCCCCGTCCTCCCCGCCGACCTGGTGCTCGTCGTCCAGCCTGACCGTAAACAGCCCCCTCGCAAGCGTCGGGAACGGGCTCGGGATGTCATAGTACTTGAACTCGTTCATCTTCCAGCTCTCGATCGTGATGTCCGGCCATGATGGCGGGTTGTACTTCGACGAGCGGACGAGCTTGGGCTGTTTATTGTGTAGGCGATGGAGTGTGTTGATCAAGGACGAGTCATCAGGGTTGTATTTTGATGCGAGCGAAGATGTTGAGGCTGAGGACATCGTGCGGCTATGGCGGAAGGAGAAAGAAAGAGGGAGGTTTATATGCTGGGCACATGCGCGGAACGGGCGGATGAGTCGAATTGTGAGGTGCGTGTGGCGTAGGCGTAGCGGTAAACGTCACTGGGAGTCAGAACGAGGTTGGAAGAAGGCGACACGGCCTCGTGAGCTTTTACGTCCAAGCTATTCGATACGGTGGCCAGTCGGAAGGAGGCGGTAGTGAGGGTAGGTGGCAACGTTCGAGAACCCGCTCGAGGCATGAACATATCCTTATTTGTGGCGGAAGGAGTGGCACTAGATACCCAGGTACGTCGACAAACGGCAGACCGACATTCAGTAGTACTACATCCACACGATACATATACGATAAAAAGCCGACATCCCGATTGAGCGCTCGCTGTTGCTCAGTCAGCATGCCTTGACGTGAGAGCGATGGCTGCAGACACGAAAGTGGCGAGCACCTCGACTTTACGAGCCCGAGGATCAATGGCGGGTAGTCCACGCATTACACGAGTGCGGAGTACCCGTAAGGAGCGGGTGCGCTTCGTTTTATGTACTGCTTTCTGGAGGTTGTGTCGCGAGAAGCGCTTGGGCGACGACTTGATGGATGTCTGTACACCTCGTCTGGCATACATCCATTGCCTGCGAGATAAAGTCAGCATGGCTCGTTGGGCGATAGAGTTGGTGTGATTCACCTCGAAGGCAACGTTCGGCAGCATACTACCCACCTGCCGAACGCTCGTGACAGTGGTTAACGCAGGCATACAGGCAAGCACAACGACTCCCGTCGCTTGCTTTGCTTCTTCTTCTACAGGGTCCAGCCATATTTCGTCCTTGACAGACATCTACGTTCTTAGATTAGCGCCCAAGTGCGATGCGACATTGGCGCCACACATACCGCTGCGCAGGAGACGACCAGACCGTACATCTCGATACCTGCATTGGCAAGGGCGGTAGAGCACGCGATAGTTCCTGCGGCAATGGCGCTGTCAAGTCCGTCGCATTCAATGATAGTGACGAAGATGTCGATGACCGCTTTCGGGAATAGCTCTACTCGAACGGCTGAGATCAGGGATTGGTGAATGAGTTCGGACACTGTTCGGTCCTCTGCATCCTGTACATTATCAGTATAGAAAAGAGCCTAGAGCTATGGGGGACTAACTCTCAAAGGTGCCCGTCGGACTGCGCACGAGAACGGCGCAAACTTGACCTCGACGTTCAGCCTCCCATTTTCGTGATATGCCGTCCCCTTGGCCTGCCTCGGCCCATACACGGCACATGCCAGTTTTGTGCGTCCAGTCTCAATATATGACGACCCATTCGCCTGGTTGATCAATCCGGCTTTAAGGACTTGCTATGACGCGCTCAGTCAAACCAAAGCGCGCGACTGCAAAAGTATGAATGAACGCACATATGGGCCGTATATCCTGCGCCCCCCTGCCCAGTCGAGGCTCGCCAGCTTTCCATGTTACAGGCGCATCTTCGTCATCGAATACAGGCGGTCTGCTATCTTCCGGCCCTGTGATGCGTCTCCTGTCGAGAACGCGGTCCATGGTGGTCGACCGAAAAGATGAGATCAAAGTCGCGTCGCGCTCGACGCGTCTGATCGCGCCCCCACGCGCACCTGCAACCGAACCACGACCACATCACACCATCCGCACGACCCGACTACCGATATCCAGCCTAATAGTTCGAAATATACCTGCACAAGACTCTATACCCACACGCCAATTTCATGTCCAGCGATGATCACGACAGCAACGACGCCAAGCGATACCCGTCCCCGCCTCTCTCTCACGGCTCTTTCGACTCGGACGCAGACGAGCTACGAGCGCTAGAGCTATCTGACGGTCCTAGATCTGCGGGAGGACCGAGAAGAGGCGGGCGCGGGCGCTCATTTTCGCTCTCGGGCTTTGGCTTCGAAAACGACCTGTTGCCGCTCACTGCCAGTCTGGATGCATCCGAGGAAGTGAGGACACCCGGAGCAGAGAAGAGTATTAGTCTATTGAATGGTATGTACTCTTGCCAAAGCTTCTGATTAGTATTGACTGAGTGTTGCTGTCATACAGGTGTCGCGCTGGTCGTTGGACTCCAAGTGAGTCTTAGTCTATGAACAAGTCCCGTCATGCGCTGAGCACGCGTATAGATAGGATCAGGCATATTGTGCGTCCGCCTTTCGACCAGTCAATGATAGTTACTGATGAAGACTCTCCTAGCTCTTCTCCAGGTGTCGTCATAGCCAACACCGAAACGGTCGGGGCGAGCCTCGTAGTATGGGCTCTGGCCGGTATCCTAGGTTGGACAGGCGCAAGCTCCTTCGCCGAACTAGGATCCGCAATACCTCTCAACGGCGGTGCACAAGCGTATCTTGCATACGCATACGGACCTCTTACCTCATACCTCTTCGCATGGACAGCAATATCTGCACTCAAGCCTGGATCCAACGCTGTTATAGCACTCATCTTCGCCGAGTACTTGAACAGGCTATTCTGGCACGCCACACAGAGCGAGGATGCGAACCCGGATGCCATACCGGAGTGGGCGACACAGCTCACGGCTATCATTGCCATTGCCATCATCACGTCGGTCTGCGTCCTCGCACGCAGTCTCGGCACACGCCTCGCCGTCGTGTTCACGACCGTCAAGATCGCATCACTCGTCCTCATCATCGTACTTGGAATCGTGCAGTATGCGCGCGGACATGCTAGCGCCTCGCTCAGTGGGGACATTTTCGCTGGCAGCAGTACCAGTCCGAGTAGCTATGCCCTCGCATTATACTCGGGTCTATGGGCTTTCGACGGATGGGACCAAGCGAACTATGTCGGGGGCGAGATGAAGAATCCGGAGAAGAACATTCCCCGCGCGATTCACTCGAGCATGGTGCTTGTCGTTGTACGTCTAATAGGTTGCTTTCGACAATCGTGATACTGATGATCTCTAGATCCTCTTCGTCGCGGCCAACTTGTCGTACTTCGTGGTCCTAGATAAGGTGTGCCATCACCCAGTTGCATACACGAGATCTCAACTCACAATGTTGATCGACAGAGCATTGTGGCGAGTAGCAATACCGTTGCTCTTGACTTCGGTCGCGCCATCTGGGGACCTCTGGGGGGTTCGCTCTTCGCAGGAATGGTTGCGTTCTCTTGCTTCGGCGCCCTCAACGGTACTGCGTTTGCTCGGAGTCCTCGCCAATAAACTGACTCTAGCCCATCAGGCTCGTTCTTCACGACTGGCCGCCTCATCTACATGGCCGGCAAAGAAGGCTACCTTCCAGCGCTCTTCGGCAAACTACACTCAACCCGCCGAACGCCCTTGAACGCCATGCTCCTCCAAGCCTTCCTCACCTCTTTCTTCGTCCTCGTCGGCGGCGGCTTCCGCTCCCTCATCAACTTCGCCGTCGTCGCCTCCTGGGCGTTCTACTTCCTCACCGTGCTCGGGCTCGTCATTTTGAGGTTCAAAGAGCCCGGACTGTCGAGACCGTACAAGACGTGGATCACGACACCGTTGATATTCTGTGGCGTGGCACTGTTCCTGTTGTACATGCCCGTGGTGGCAGCGCCCATACAAGCGCTCGCTGTTTTGGGTGGGTGCTTTGTTCTCGTTTAGTCTGAGTCCGTGGGGATTGACTGGCGTGTTTCTTGTAGGTTTCGTCCTGGCAGGGATACCGATGTACTACATCACACAGCGCCCAACGTCGTTACCCTTGCCATCATGGATGGGTAAGCGCTTTCCATCACAATGAATGATCTATCTGGCGTTTCTGACATGTCCTTTTCACAGCGGGCTGGATGGATAAGTTACGCGGCCGGCCGGCAGCGCCTGCAGGCTTCGGGTGGGAAGCTGTTGCGACGGGTGATGAGGTCGAGATGGCGGAGGGTCGCCATGGTCGATGAGAGCTTTTCATGATCTCGAGGATTCCATGCACATATAGATTGTCATTGGATACTATACCATACAGGCTGGACACGAGTCAATAGACGATAGGCAGTGTCTTCGCTTTAATTGAGCATGACTGTGGTGGTGGTGGTCGGGGACATGGAACGGATCTCGCGCTGACAAGAGAATAGCTAACGCCTGAACAGCGAACACCGACTTTGCTGTACAGCATAGTATTACGCCTTGAGCAGTCGGCGAAGGGTATGCACCCGAGGCCCGGTGCGGTACTTCTGACCAAGACTGCAACACAATGGCTGTGGCGAAGCACGCGTCACCCGCTGCTGAACGCGCTGAACCCTCATGAAATGTGAACACAGTCTCAGAGACCCAAACGTATATCTCGGGTAGCGAGCTGGGTTGAATGGGCACTCCTGACACGTTTCGAAGCGCTGATTGGGAGACCGAGTCCACGAAAGGCAGCGAGGGAAACGGCGCAGCTCACGCTACCAGGGCAACTGCCTGCAACTGCGAGCGAATGGACTATAAGCGGACTTGGTCACCCGACGATTGCGCGAGATGTGTGAGCGCGGCACTTAGTGATACTTAAAGCTGACTACGGCAGTTGTCCTCCATCCACGACTATCGCCCGCTTCCTATTGTGCGTCTTACTATACTGGCGCATTTGTGCGCGGCCGTACTCACCACCCGACCTTAGATCTTGACTTCTATACCCGACTCTTCCTCCAACTCCGGTTTTATTTCCACCATGGTGCGCGCGCTTGTCCTGACAGCTTCTCGCGGGGCGCTGATGTGATCCCCGACAGTCTGAGCACCAGTACAAGTTTGACGTGAAGGTGCGCGGTGATGCGGTTGGGAAGGAGGCGAGGTGCTGACTGAGCGCCTAAAGATGACCTGCGGCGGTTGCTCAGGCGCCGTCACGCGCGTTCTGGAGCGCGCAAAGACGAACGGCAACGGTGCGTCGAGCTATGATCTTGCTGGGTGTGAACAGATACTAATTCGAGGCTAGGCGTGTCCTCGTACGACGTGAGCCTCGAGAAGCAGGAGGTGCTCGTTACCGGAGAGATCCCGTACGACGACCTGCTCGCCATGATCAAGAAGACCGGCAAGGAGGTCAGTGAATATGTCTTTGTCCCCTCCAGCACCCATGCTAAGAGACTGTTCGCAGGTCCGCTCTGGCGAGACGCTTGTGTAGATGCATGTATAATAGCTGTCGTATATATCTAGTTAGGGGCATGTTCGGAAATACATAAGCTGTATGACGCAGACGATACTTTAAATTTGGGAAACGCCGCAAGGCACCGGGATTACGTTCGGAGCGCGGAAGAAGGGGTTGATTATTTCTTGCGAGCATGCCGGTACCAAGCCCTTCGCGCAGCAAGCCAAAGTTGCGAGACTACCATATGCAGCGTACGGAATATCATCGCGGTTGTATGCTACCGTCATGAGCTCGACAGCCGCGACGGCGCTCCCGACGTCGAGCAACCCACTGTGCCCACCGACGCCGGCGTACGACGACCCGCTGGAGTGGTTCACTGCCTATGCGGTCATCCACATGCTCTCGGACCCTTCGCGCAGGGTGACATACATCCTGTGGCTCCTCATCGCCGCCATCGTCCTCGTCTACGCCGCAGGCCACTACCTCCTCCCCCGCGGCGGCGGATTCATCGGCGCTTACTGGGCAAAGTTTGCGCTGCGACGGAGGACATGGCGAAAGCAGCATTCCCTCGCAGAGCACAGGCAGCCCATCCCCCTACCGTCGAATGCGCAGCTAGCCGCACTGGCGGCCATCGTGGTGTCCACGATCTGCTTCATGCTCGTCGGCCCGGACTACATCGCGCCCGATGCGTCGCTCTGGTCCTGGCACCGCAAACGGGCAGAGGACTACACGCTCTCCACGTTCTACTACCTCCAGCCGCAGTACACGATCGACAAGGCTTTCTGGACAACAGGCGGCCGCGCAGGCCTCATCGCCTTCGCCCTCTTCCCGCTCACCGTCCTCTTTGCCCTCAAGGCGCCGCCCTTCGCGCTGTTCGCGAACCCGTGGACGATCAACGTCCATTTCGATAAACTCGCTTGGTTGCACCGCTGGTCCGGCCGCCTGATCTGGGCCGTTACGACCATTCACGTCGTGCTCTGGAGCGTCCAGCTCGCTCTAGACACCCGCACCGGCACAAACACCGCAGCGTATCACTACGCATGGGGGTATTCCAAGTTTATCTACGCTTGGATCGTACGTCCCCTTGTCGCTCCCAACCGCGCTCTTCGGGAATCTCACGTTTTGCGCAGGCATACGCGCTTTTGACGGCGCTTGTCATCCTGTCACTACGACCGTTCCGCGAACGCTTCTACGAGACGTTCTATTTCCTGCATGTCGCATCCGTTCTCGGAACACTGGTCTTTTCTGCGCTGCATCACCCGCCAGTTTGGTGGTGGTGCTGGGCAGCACTCTTGCTCTGGGCTGGAGAACGTCTATGGCGAGGGACTCGCTGGCTTTACACGAACGGCTTCATCGGCAGCAAGAAGCACGAATCCATCGCGCCTCTACCCCCACCGCCAACCCCGAACAAGATGCAATCAAGCTTGCTCGAAGCGCAGACGCCCATGTCGGCGACAAAGTCGCCGTACATGCACTCGCCCAACTCGGCATCGCGTTCCTTCCTCCTTCCGCCGCCTACGACCGTGTGTTCCTATGTCCCGCCTACTGGATACGCGCACATCGAGTTGCTCGCCGGTCGCACGATGCGAGTGACACTTGCGACGCCGGGATACATCTCCTGGGCACCAGGCCAACATTTCCTGTTGACAGTCCCCTGCATATCGCGCTTCCTGTCGCATCCCTTCACATGCGCGTCAATCTGCGACGAACAGATCGCAGGGCCCGAAGGCCGCACGCTCGTCTTCTACGTGCGTTCCAAAGCCGGCTGGACGCGCGACTTTTGGGACGGAGTCGTCGCTTTGCTCTCCGTCGGGCGTAAATACCCGTCCGGCGAGCGGCATCCGCCTCATGTGTTACCGCCAACGGGTGTTTTGATGCGAGCTATTATTGACGGACCGTTTGGAAGCGTCGGACGTACGGAGTGGGGAGAATATAGCACGGCTGTGCTCGTTGCGGGCGGAAGCGGCTTGTCGTTCGTGTTGCCGATCTTTGAGTATTTGTGTTTGTGTATGGCGGGGAGGAATGGGAGGTATCTGGGTGGGAGGGCGCATGGGTCTGGCGCGTCGGCGTTCAAGGTGGACAGAGTGCACCTGGTCTGGGTCGTACGCGAATTCTGTGAGTGACATGGGAATTGTCTGCAGTGCGGGAACTGATACTCTTTCAGCGCATATACAATGGGGTGCTCGCGTTCTCCGACGATGTCAGAGCCTCGTCTCCCGAGAACATGTCCAAATCGATATCTTTGTGACGAGGATAGCCCCCGGCACACTTCCCGCTCCCCGCCCACCACCTCGACTATCAGAGCTCGCCGAGTCTCAAACCGCCTCATCATCGAGCGATACCCTCGCGCCACCACACCCTTCCTTCGCATCCATCGGCCCCACCGTAAAGCTCGTCCCGAACCGACCTGCAAGTCCCGCCTTCAGCGTCACTGGCGAGATCCTCGACGACTACGTCGACCTATCCTACTACACCTCCGATGCCGCAGGCGGAGACCCCGAACTCGACTACACCAACTTCGACGGCGACGACGACGCCCGGTTACCGGGAGAAAGCGCCGTCGCACGTGCGATCAAGAAGGAAGGCCGAATGCGGCGCGCACATAGTCGACGTGCTAGCGAGATGCTCAGCGGTGCGGATGATAGGCAAAGCAAACGTATCAGCTACCCACCAGGCCGACACAAACGCGACGCTTCTGAACCTGCCGCACCACCACCTGCACGACCCAATATGCTACGCGTTGACACAACACTACGCACACTCGACGAAGACGCGCCGCTGTCACCTACACATCTCGTATCAGCCGGCGGCGCGAAGAGTAGACCTATCACGATGGAAGAGTCTCCGGGTGCTGGTAGTGATGGCGCGAGCGTGGGAGCAGGCGGCGGGTGGCGCGGGCCGAAACGCACGTCATCGATCTATTCGTTCGCGTCGAGCGCTGCACCCGGGGAGACCGCCATGAGCGCCGGCGGACACTCGCGCGCCAGCAGTATCCGGAGCCTAATGCCTAGCATCGAGACGGGCGCGCGTGGGCAGCCTGTGGCGCTCGAGCTGGCCGAATCCGAGTTGACGGATATTCGCGCCGTCGCTGAGTTCGCGAGAGCCGGTAGACCGAATTTGACGAGGCTATTGGGCGATGAGGCAGCGAGGGCTAGAGGGCCGCTCGTTGTGGCGTGTTGTGGGCCCACTACGTTGAATGCGGTGGTGCGGAAGACGGTGGCGGCGCAGATCGATCCGGAGAAGGTGAGGAGTGGGGATCTGAGTGGGTTGATCAGTCTCGTCGCGGAGGACTACGAGTACTAGGGACCTCGGTACGGACTTCTGCTCTGTGTATATGGACCCTCGACGGGGCATTTCCTTGTTCTGTCATTGACATTCCTTCAATCCTTCTCGACGCTCGGACTACGGCTTTGAAGCTTTGAACTCTGAAACGCAATTTACCTGTACTTACACCTTTCAGCTGCACATTACACCCTTGATAATATGACAAGCAAGCACATGAATGGGTGGGGTGCTGCATATGCAGCTTTCGGTTCTGCGACTCCGAAGATTTCGCCCACTGACGATTATTTGAATGGCAGCGCTAGGCGCTGGGAATCCTATTGCCATTATATTAGGGCTTCGGCGTCTCTCGACCCAGACATATGTGCTTATCGTAGCCTACCTGCTCCCAACGACCATCCAGCGTTCGCCTCTCCGGCCCACGACAGGCCCGTTCATGTCTAACTCAGAGTCCAGGAGCGCGCCGTCATCCTTGGTTCAGTGAGTGCTCAGATATCGTACATATGTCTTGTCGTTTCTGATTGGGTGTTTAGGGCACTCGTGCAGGCTCGCGCGGCAAATGAGAGTCTAAACGAACTTACCCTGCCCTCGCGCCTTCCAGCGGAGACATTGGCCGGGGTATTCGCTCACCTCGTCGACATTTATCCAATCGATCTAGACGAGGGGCCTCCGATCCCTTCGTCCTTTCGGGTCTGCCCTGTGAACAAGCGCAAAGGTTTGGGCTGGCTCTACGTCACGCACGTATGCCGGCGCTGGCGAGCCACCGCCATCAGTGAACCTTCGTTATGGACGAGGCTGCCCATGGCACTTGGCCAACTGTGGGACGTCTTTCTCGCACGAGCGAAGAAAGCTCCTCTCGTCATATCTCACGTTTTCTACGGTGTTAGTTCCCCGTCTATGGACGTGGAGCGCTCTATACGCTGCATTCTTCAACATCGAGATCACATTCAGGAGCTTGACCCAGGCTCGCTTGACGCTACCCACATGCTCAGACTGGTGCAAGGTCTCACTGGCCCTCTTCCGCACCTTCGACGCCTGAGGTTGCAGACATACGAAAAAGATGCCCCTCTTCTTCCTCTACCGCCTTCCTTCATGACCGAATCTGCGCCGTGTATACGGGAACTACGGCTGTCTGGCATTGCCTTCCCATGGGGGAGTGGCTCTTCCACCATTACCTGCTTCCACTACGAACACCTTCATGGGCGCCATCCAGCTGCTGTTGATCGAATCTCTCACAGCTTCTCCGAAGTCGTGTCCACACTCCAATGCATGCCAGCGTTGAAGGACTTGAAATTGATCGGCGCTGTCCCCAGCGACGCTGTGGACCACGTGCGGGTTGAGATCCAGCTTCCACAACTCGAGGAGCTCGAGATCGTCTCTCATGGTGCATCGTCGTGGCACCTCCTAGCTCTGATACAGCACCCCTCCTACACCCATGTCAATGTCAGAGATACCAGCATGGGGGTAACCGGGCCCGGACACATTGGATCGACCACAGCGTCTGGGCTCCCTGTTCACCCCGCCTCTCCTTCGAAGTTTCATGTCCGTACATTGGACGTTGATTTCTCCGACCCTTGGCTCATCGAGCGCGGTCTGTAACGTCCTGCCCCATAATGTCTAATACAGATAGTCTCCACTCGATGTTTCGGGGAGATGCAATGATGCCGACCTGTGATCGTATCAGCCTCCACGTTTGCTCTTACGAGTCCAAGCTCACGGCAAGGCATTTGATCCCCGCAGTTGCCCTCGAGCACATACACACCCTCAACATTACGGGACGCATTGGCAATAGTCAGCCATTGTACGATGCCTCTTTATCCTCACGATCGTTCACGAACTTGCCAAAGTCTCGTCTCACGAGAACATGTCTAGATCGATATCTTTGTAACAAGGATAGCACCGGGCACCCTTCCCGCTCCCCGTCCATCACCTCGGCTATCGAGCTCGCCGAGCCTCAAACCGCCTCATCATCCAGCGATACCCTCGCGCCACCACACCCCTCCTTCGCTTCCATCGGCCCCACCGTAAAGCTCGTCCCCAATTAGCCAGCAAGTCCCGCATTCGGCGTGACCGGGGAGATCCTCGACGACTACGTCGACCTATCCTACTACACCTCCGATGTCGCAGGCGGAAACCCCGAACTCGACTACACCAACTTCGACGGCGACGACGACACGCGTTTACCGGGAGACAGCGCCATACACGTACGATCAAGAAGGAAGGCCGAATGCGGCGCGCACATAGAAGACGCGCTAGCGAGATGCTGAGCGGGGCGGATGAACGGCAGAGTAAACGCATAAGCTATCCTCCAGGTCGACACAAACGCGACCTCTCTGACCCTGCTGCACCACCGCCTGCACGACCCAACATGCTACGCGTTGACACAACACTGCGCACACTCGACGAAGACGCGCCGCTCTCACCTACACACCTCGTATCAGCCGGCGGTGCGAAGAGTAGGCCTATCACGATGGAAGAGTCTCCAAGTGCTGGTGGCGATGGTGCGAGCGTGGGAGTGGGCGGCGGGTGGCGCGGGCCGAAACGGACGTCGTCGATTCACTCATTCGCGTCGAGCGCTGCTCCCAACTGCTCCCGGGAGACCGCGATCAGCGCCGGTGGTCACTCACGCGGCAGCAGCATCCGGAGCCTGATGCCTGGCATCGAAATGAGTGCCCATGGACAGCCTGTTGCGCTCGAGCTGGCCGAATCCGAGTTGACGGACATCCGTGCCGTCGCCGAGTTCGCGAGAGCCGGTAGTCCGAACTTGACAAGATTATTGGGCGATGAGGCCGCAAGGGCAAGAGGATCGCTCGTCGTGGCGTGTTGTGACCCACAACGTTGAATGCGGTGGTCCGGAAGATGGTGGCGGCGCATTGGGCGGCGCATTTCGATCCGGGGAAGGTGAGGAGCGGGGATTTGAGTCTCGTTGCGGAGGACTACGACTACTAGGGACCTCGGTGCAGGCTTTTGTTCTATGTATATGGACCCTCGATGAGGGCATTTCCTGTTCCTGTCATCCATTTTCCTTCAATCCTTCTCTGCTCTCGGACTATATCTCTGAACTTTGGAACGCAACTTACCTATATACTCACATCTTCCAGCTGCACATTACGCTATTGATGATATGTCAAGCAAGCACGTAAAATTTCGGGGTACTGTGCCTGCAGCTTTCCATTTTGTGGCACCCCGAAGATGACGTCTGGTGACAGCTATCTGAATAGCAACCTTAGGCGCTGGGAAATCAACTGCAGGTACCGACTGCAGGTATCAACGTCTTCTCAGCTAGGCCTGTGGGCTTCTCGTAACCTGCTCCCAACGACCATCTAGCCTTCGCCTCTCCGACATCGGAAACGTATTGATGTCTAAGAGTGCGCGGTCGCACTCGGTCCAGTACGTGCAACGATACCGTATACATCGTCGTTTCTGACTGGGGGATCTAGGGCACTCGTTCAGGCTCGCGCGAGAAATGAGCGTCTGAACGATCTTACCCTACCCTCACGCCTCCCAACGGAGACATTGGCAAAGATATTCGCTCACTTGGTCGAGATTTCACCTCTTACTCTGGTCTATCTAGCCTACGCCGACTGCCCTGTGGACGAACGCAAAGACCTGGGTTGGCTCTATGTCACGCACGTGTGCCGGCGCTGGCGCGCCATCGCCATCAATGAACCCACGTTATGGAGACAGTTGTCCATAACTCTCGACCGAGTATGGGACGTCTTTCTTGCACGAGCGAAGAAAGCTCCTCTTGTCATAAAGTACAATTACTACACCGGTAGCCCCCCGCCCCGGGATTTGGGGCGCTGCGTACGCTCCATGCTTCAGCATCGAGACCACATCCAAGAGCTTGACCCAGGCTGGCTTGACACCGCTCGTATGCTTGAACTGGTGCAAGGCCTCACTGGACCTCTTCCGCACCTTCGACAACTTAGGCTGCAGACATTATGTGCCGTGGATACTCCACTGCTGTCTCTGCCGACTCACTTCTTTGCCGAATCTGCACCCAATATACGGCTGTTGCAGCTGTCTGGCATCGCATTTCCATGGGGCAGTGGCTCTTCCACCATCACCTGCTTCCACTACGGATGCCTCCATGGGCAGAATCCAGCCGCTTTTGATCCAAACCGTCACACCTTCGCTGAAGTTGTTTCTACGCTTCAAAACATGCCAGCGTTGAAGGACTTGATGTTGGTTGGCGCTGTCCCCAGCTATCGGGAGGGCGACAAGCATGCCGAGATCCAGCTTCCACAGCTCGAGGACCTCCAGATCACCTCTCGCGATGCGTCGTCGTGGCACCTATGGACCCTGATCCAACACCCCTCGTATACCAGTATCTTTATCCGCAATACCGGCCCCATGGGCATTGCGTCTACAACCATCGGCTCAATCATAGCGTCGAGGCTTCATGCCCACCTGTCCTCCTATCCATTCCATTTTCGAGCACTGGGTGTTCATGCACCCGAACCTGGAGCCATCGAGATCGAGCTCACAGACGCGGTACCCAATATTGTGGAGAACCCAGCCCATACACCCAGCGCAGCAGAAACTGTAGTAGCGGGCAATATCACATTATGGCTTTGCACGGGCGATATCGAGCCCGCGGCGAGGCAGCTCATCTCCGCATGCGCAGCCGTTCTCGAGGGCATCCGAAAAGTCAGCATTTTGGGAAACGTCGGCAGCAGCCATGATCTCTATGACGCTTTTTCACCTGCGCGGTCGGTCACGACCTTGAAACTCGACGGCGCCGTCGGGGAGGTCATTGCTGCCCTCATCCCTGTCCAAATCAAAACCAAACCGTTCCTGACGCACCGCGGCGTTAGCTTCTATCGTTCAACTCCAGAATCAACGTTATTCCCAGCCCTGGAGGAGATGGGGTGTGTACATGTTGACTTTGGCGACTGGTGTCATCATGCCGGTGAAAGGATGCGAGTACACTCGGCTCTGTATATGGCCCTCTCGCATCGCTCAGAGGTCCTGGGGAGGACTCTCGAAACTCTGGACGTTGACGGGTGTGACGACATGTCACTCGAATGGGCAAAGGGATGGTTACGGCATGTTGCCCGTTTAGTGAGTACCGAGCTGGCAATGGATCTGGAGGGTGACGACGATTCGGAAGAGAGTGAGGGAGTGTCTGAAGGCGAAGATGAGAATGAGACGGACTTTTCTGAATGAGCCACGTGTACCCTGTACAACTTGTAGACTTGAAGCTTACTTGACGGGAAATCACCATCACGACTGCAATGACCTTACTTAGTGCATTGCGATGAGTCACGATTCTATCTGATTATGTATATACGGCTACGAAGGACACGGGTTGAAGAGCAGAGCGAGTATACCCAAGCACGTATGTAGGGCGAGGGATGCAATAACGAGTGCAACGACGTACAAGATTGGAAGTAAAGCGGCAGGTAACAAGCAGGACTCAATATTTCAAGGCCCGAAGAAACCAAAAGAAAGTGGTGAGGATGCGACAGTATGAGTGTGGGGGTTGTTGATGCAGAGCGAGTGCGAGGGTTGAAGGTGAGTGATCCAATTGCAAAAGTTGTCCGAGGTAGCGAGTAACTAAAAATGACGGCGGGTATACCGACAGTACACTAAGTTGTCCGTGCTGTATGTAGCAGGCAGTTCTACGTAAGTGAGGTCCATGCTGAGCGGGCAAAGCAAAATTCCGGATATAGTACGCAAGATGTATATGGCACAGTAGTATGCGCGAATGCGCGATTATGGGCGGGCTGTACAAAGGCAATGTCAGCGAATGAAGCAGACCAGAACGCGCTGACGACGTACATAGTTGCTCCTTGCGGTAGAACCAGAAGTAGCCGGACACGATGAGCAATTGGCACGCAAGTGCGGACCAGAACAGTGGGCTTGCCATGGGGCTGCCCTTCAGACCGTCGCTGAAGTCCCAGGTACCGACATTAGGGAATACGCTACCCGGCCCGACGCTGTCGGGGGATGTTGCGCGTGCGATCATGACGCAGACCGAGCCGATGACTTGTGCAATGGCGAGAGTCACGCAGACGTGTAGACGAGAGAGCGTCTGGAGTAGGATAAGACCGAGCCCGACACCCTGAACGGCATCGAGCACGCCCAACCAGAGCCATAGACAAAGGCCGAGGTAAGGTCCGGCATGTCCTGCCCATGGAATATAAAGCGCCAATGATGAGGTTCCCCAAAGCATCTGACACCAGCGTGGTGCACCGAGGCCGACCGCGAAGATGGGAAGAAGCCAGGTGTGTGTTTTGCTGAAGTACGTGAGGATGCCGATGAGGATGGCCCAGACGAAGACAAAGAACAACACGACGAGAAGAGCGGTCTGCCAACGCGGGATGTCGACGTTCCAAAGGAAGCTCCAGTTGCGTCCGTAAGGCTATGGTGGACACATATCAGTAACTGAAGACGAATACTAGGAATGCGATAGACTCACTCCCGAGAGCCAGTAGTCCCGTAAGATCTCCGCGGCCAAGAACCAGACGACAATCTTGCGACGGAAGAGGGTCTTGTAGAAGTTTGGCACCTTTGGTGGCGTCTGGCGGTAGTACTCCGGCAAGCCGTAGAGCATGAGGTACGCAAATGCGAACGACATGATAGAGAGTGGCCAAACGACAACGACGATCCACCACGGAACGGACTCGGACGCGCCGGTACCAAGCTTGTAGCCCCAGTAGTAGAGCGCAGCGATCCAAACTTGCTGCGTACCCTGCACGATAACAGCGCGCAACATCCACGTCTCGGTGCTAGCACCGGCCTCCTCGCCGAAGTTGAGACCGAAGAAGCAGAACGAGGCCGCGCTGGCGGCAGCGTAGCACCACGTCGCGACGTCGGAGAGCACCTCGTGAAGGTTCTCGAGGCCGGGGATGGAGGGTAGACCGATGAAGAAGAACGCGAGGCCGAAGAAAAGCCATGGGCCGGACAAGCACCAGATCGAAGGCTTGAGGCGGAACAGCGGGTACCACACGCAACACGCGGCAAGGAACACGCCGCCAAGCACGTAGAGTTGCAAGTCGGTTTGGTTGCTTGATCCCGAGAGCAGCGTGAGCTGGAAGCTCGTCGCAGACAAGATCTGGCCGAGTGACATGATGATGGTGTAGAGCGGCCATCCGCCAATCTCGCGTGCCAGAGCGATTTGCAATCCACTCATGATAACGACGTCGCCGGCCTCATTGTTGACCAGTGCGCCTTCGTACTCGGAGTGATTGAACGAGTTGTTGCGTGAGATGACCGAGGGCGACTGTGGACGCGAGCCGTCGTACAGAGATGGCGCTGGTGTGCCCCAGATGGAATCGCGATCACGAGAAGAGGCGCGTATGCTCTGCGCAGCGTCTAGCTTGTCCTTGCGAACCTTGTCGAAGAAAGCCTCCTCGCTCTTCTGCAAGAACGCTTCGATACTCAGCTCCTTCTTCGAGTTCTCCGCGTTGAGGGCCTGCAATTTCTGCACGAACTCCTGTGCGACGCCACCATCCTGATCCGTGAAGCTCGCCATGGCCTTGTTCAACGGGCTGTTGCTCTTTTCGTCTACGATGCTCGCAATGGACTCTACTGAGCTGACGCGCGAGTGAGCACCGAATGGCCTGGTCGGCGCTTCGAGGAATGGATCTGGTGCATTGCGCGCGCCATGCGCCGCCTGCTGATTGACTTTGTCGAGGAAGTTACCGAAGTCCGGTCCGGCGCCCGCGCGCTGTTGCGAGAAGTAGTCCTGCGCTTCGATGTCACTCGCAGTGCTGACCACGCTATTGCGGTCCGCGCCGTGGCCGAGGAAGCGGGGTGCAGGCATGTGCAGCGGATCGCTCGTTCCGGGCGTCATCGGTGAAGGCGGCACGCTCTCGGCGTACGAACTCGCGCGGTCCCATCCTGGTCGGCTTGGATCCTCCTGGTGAACCGGACTCCAGTCTGCGTGCTCGTCGGCTCCTATCCGCGTCGTGGGCTCTAGGCCTCCGTCGGACGGTCTCCAGGCGTCATGCGCGGCGATGTGACGGGAAGTGTTGATTGAACGGGCGTGGAAGTCCTCCATACGCTGACGCCACTCGACGACAGGGAAACGTTGTACGGCAGATCGAGCGCGCAACATGGCACGTTCTTCCTCGGTCGACTTGAGCGCGAGCTTGATCGTCTTTGACAACTGCGAAAGCATATGCGCCGCAGAGCTAGATTCGACAGGGAACCACTGTGAGAGCGTCAGCGACTGTAAAGGGCATAAAGTATTGTGTAGAAACTTACCCAACCGGGCATGAGACCAAGACCACCCAGACGCGAGCCAACACCGAGTGCACCCTTACGACCGAACTCTACAGCGACAAGACCGAACGGCTCATCACGAGAGGGGATAAGCGCAAAGTCGGCGCCAGAGAACAGATACGGCGGGAGCGCCGTGAACTCGGGCTTCGAGAACACACGATCCGGGTACATCTGCATGAGCCTGTTGAGCTTCTCCGCGGCGAAGCGCCCGTAGAGATCGATGACGGGGCCGACGCAAATGAGCTGGATGGATGGCTTCTTCTCGAGCAGCGAGGGCATGACATCCGCGATAAGGTCCACACCCTTCTGCTTCGACCAACGACCGACGAACACGAAGAGATCAGAGTTGGGGTCCTGCTTGATGCCCGCCCACTCTTGCGCCTGGCGCTTATGCTCGGGGCGCTCGGCCTCAGCCACCTGATCGACCGTGACGTCCTTCGCCTTGATAGCATGCTCGTCCAATGCTGCGATATCGCTCGGATCCGGGTTAGGCAGGGAGTCGACGTGCTTCAATGTCCATAGAGCGGGATAACGTGCCCAGGAGCGTTTGCCGTACTTGTCCGACACACCGGCGACACCGATCGATTTTTGGTGGACCGAGATGAAGGATGCGGCGGCGTGAAGCAAGTTGAACGTGTTCCCGAACTGGACGTACTTCGTGCACGCCTCCTTGGACATGTTGAATGCACTGCAAACTTCCTTCATCTCCTCCTTCGTCCTGAGCGGCCACAAGCCCTGGAACTCGGCGTTGTGCAGACTCAAGCAGACGGGCATGACCTTGGGGAGGAGGTAGATGGGAGCGAGGGCGCCGTGGTAGTCGTTGATGTGGTAGATGTCGATGTCCGGGAACTTGCGGATGGTCGCCGCGATAGCCTGGTTCCAAGTACTGTAGAAGATCGCACTTGACAAGTCGTCCATGCGCGCCGGGTACGGGTCCGCCTTGGTCTGTGCGCGGAAGACAGGACTGTCGAGAATGACGTAGGTGATGTTGTCCAGGACGTGCGTCTCGACCTCAATCAGATACGGCTCGCCGAAGATGATAACCTCAAATGGCTCCTCCTGCTGCCCAGGCGGGTACTCGAGGTCCTTGACCTTCGGCACGACCCAAATGAGGTCGACGTCGGTCATCGCCTTGCCCATCAAGCTACTCATGACACCCAAACCACCAATCTTGACCTTGAGCTTCCAGTCGATGATCTCGTACTCAAGCGTCGCGATAAGACACTTGCGACGCTTCGCCTTGTCCTCTGGCCAACCGATGATCTCGCCCGCCGCCGCACGACCGCTCCCGAATCCGTGTCCATGTGCGCCGAAGACTTTTTCGCTAAGCGGCGTTGCGTCGCCGCCATCACCTCCATGCTTGCCCTTGTGTCCCAGGGCGCCGAGGATGGGGAAGTAGTGGTCCTTCGCAGGCTTGACACCGTACTTGTTGTGCTTGATACCGTAGAACGACCACATGAAGATGGCGACGGCGAGACTGGCGGTAATGATTGGGATCGTGGTGAGCAGCGCGTACATCGTGACAGCGACTGAACTCGCGCCGCGCGGCGAGAGGGTATACTGCAGCGTACGGTCGTCGACGGTGATGACCCATGCGAGATGCGGCTTGGGCGGGGCAGTCATGTTGACGTAGTTTGCCGCGGCGGTGTTGGGCGGTAAGCGGTCAAGCACGCCGTCACCGTCGACGTCGCCGTAGTAGTAGTCGTCAAAGCCGAAGACGTTCAGCTCAATGAATGACGGCCAAACGCCTTCAAACTCGAGCTCCCATGTGCCGTCGCCCTTCAGCTCGAATGTTGATTCGGAACCGGCGTCGAAGCCCCAGCTGTTGAACGGACCACGGGCGAGGAACTGTGGAACGCGGCGCTGGTGCTTCACACCGCTATCGGCGTGCACGACGTGCGACGCAGACGCTGCGAGTTCGCTCCAGTCTGCAACCTCTATCAGTATCTGCGCCGCATTGCAAACCACCAAAAGGTACGTACACTGCACCATGATATGATCACCATCCCACCAGTTACCGCTGAAGTTGCCGCTCGGGATAGTGGTGCTATCCTCCCAACTCTGCCATGTGGTCCAGTTTTGCCCGAAGTTCCAGCTCCACCTAAACTTATCAGCGCCGAGCGCCTTATGCGTAAACACGAAGTTGCCATCGCTCTCGCTCCAAGCACTGTTGTCATGGTCCGCGTCAGGGAAGACCAGTACGTTATCGGACGTGCCCTTGCGGACGAGGAGCGTATCGGTCGCTTGCGTCGTGTCGTTCGCGCCGGCGGCTGAAGGTGCGTTTTTGAGTGTTAGAGCGATGATGCCGTCTGGAACGTTTGTGAGGGTCGTTTGCCAGTACCACGCGCTTGGCGCGTCACCAGCCAGCGTAGCCGTCTGTCCGGTCACAGCGCCACACGCAGGCGTGCCGACGCTGACCGTGCCACCCTTGCCCGAGCTGCTCGCATTGACGCTGAGAGCAGATGTGACACCTGTGCAGCTCATAGGGACGTTGAACTCGAGCCGGATGTCGAGGCTCGTAGTCCCGTTGCTGCTGTCCACGCGTGCGTCATGTCCGGGCGAGAAGGCCGTGAGCGCAGGGCGCGGGCCGACCCACTGCGCCTGGGGCACAAGCGCCTTGAACTCGTACGGCGCCATATCGACTTTGGGGATACATGCCGAACCGGTCGTGGTGGAGCCAGTTGTCGACTGAAGCGTGTAGTTCTCGTACGGGTAGAACAAGTTCCGCACGGTGGTACCGAGAGTGAAGGGCGTGTATATGGGCGTCTTGCCCGTGCACGACTGCTCGAAGGTCGTGCTGGTGTTTTGGTTCGTGTAGAGGAGCATGACGGGGTCGTTATACGTCCCGCTGAGCGTCTGCGTATCGATCTTATCGCGCATCACCGCCCAAAGACCCATCGTCGTCGCCGTCCCGCCCGAACCAGGCCTATAGATCTCGTAGGTCCAGTTTCCGAGCTGAGTTAGCTGGAAACCGTCCTGCAATGCGCCGTACGTCTCGCGAAGCTGATACATCCGCGCCATCAATCTCCTGCTGTCGGCCGTGGGATCGAAATGGTCCAAAGCGTTCCAATCATCGTAACAGCCCATGTACACCTTCTGCAGATCAAAGTTGAAGTATTGGTCCGAGCCGAGCCCGTAGCAACCGTGGCGCTGCCAGGCCTTCGTAGCCGTCATCGCCTGTCGGCCGTACAGATAGTTGTTCGCCGTAGTGTCGTAGATGTAGAAGTTCTGCTCTTCGCCGTAGTACACGAGCGGAAGACCTGGCATGACAAGCGTGCTAATGAACGTGCCGAGCGATGCGCGGAGCGTGCCGTTCGCTAAGGCGGGCCAGCGGAAGACGTCGAAGTTGCTAGTGCCGTACATGTGCCGCGGGTCGAAGTCGCCGGTATTGGGGTTGATCATGTCGTTGTCCTGGCACATCTGGTTCCAAGCGTCGGCGAAGTCCTGAGCGACATCGTACGCCACGAGCAAGTTGCCGTCGAGACCCAGAAGCGAGGTCATACCACGGTAGACCGAGTAGTGGAACGCGACGCTGTCCAGCGCGCTCTTATTCTCCGCCCGTATGAAGTAGTCATCCGTGGCCGTGATGTTCGCATACGACTGGATCGTCCCGGCCGGAGGGCGCTGGTCGGACCTGCGTCCCCGTCCGTAATAAAGCGAACCGGTCGAATCACCGCCCGTGACTTCGCCGGTGATGAGAAAATTCTTCTTGCCAAGTTTACCGGCGCACGAGCGGGCAGAAGTGGCCCACTCCGCGAGGGCGTCGACGGTGACTTGGATGGACTTGTCGATACGGATGGCATCAATGTCGAGCGCCTGGATGGTCATGCACGCGAAGACCTGCAGCTTGGCCATCACGCTCGGTTTCCATTCGCGAAGACGATCTTGGACGCTAGCGAACTTGGACAGCTGACGCTGATAGTCGGGATGCACACCGAACGCCTCGGTGTCACCGTACTGATCGAAGTCCGACTCGTAACATCCTTTAACGCCCAGATCGAGCGGCACGCCAGTCTCGTTGTAGAAAGTGGGGTACTCGCACGACTCGTTGTACGTGTTCGAGATCTAGAACGGGCGACGAGTTAGACGCTGTCAAGATAACCGCGCAGCGGCGGCGGCGCGCGTCAAACGGACGTACGGTGAAATCCTTGTATTCGGTGAAATTCCACGGCATCATGTCTGGATCCTTCCACACGGCTTTGTATTCGTTGAACGTGAACGGGGCCGCAGACGTGAGGTGACTGCGGAGGGAAACGCGGACATGGGTAAAAATAATAAGCACGGACAATCGCTCGCGACGTACCCGTCGAAGCCGATGAGGTCGGCCATGGTGCCGACCGTAAAGTCAGCCATGACATACATTCCGCGGGCATGGATCTCGTCCACGAGCGCCTGATAGGTCGCAATGTCGCCGTAATGGGGATCCAAGACCGAGAAATCGAGCGGTGAATAACCTGAAACGGATACGTTCAGCACCGCGCGTGTCGCGGGATTCGGCAAGGAGACGCACTGTCAGCCTGCCAGAGCATGTTGAGGAAGGGCGTTCCGGAGATGAAGACGCCTTTGATGCCCATGCCCTGGAGGTAGTCCAGCTTGAGGCCGATGCCGCGCAAGTCGCCTCCCGCGCGAATCTGCGTCTCGCGCCAGTCGTACTCGTACATCGTCCCAAAGTAGTCATTGTTCGAGGGGTCGCCGTCGGCGAACTTGTCTGGCAGCAGAGAGTAGAAAGGAATCTGGCGCCAGTTGCCGGGCGAGGGCGTGTAGGTCGTGTTGGACCGGACGGAGGTCGTGTATTGGGTCGGGTCAGTCGCGTCTTTGTTCGTGTTGAGGTTGTAGTCTACCAGATCTTCCCTGTAGGGAGAGGCGCCGGCGAGGCCAGCGAGCACAAGGCCCGCTAGGCAGTTGGCGGCGAACCGCATGGTGGGCGAAGGGCTGTACGGAGAGCCTGGCCGTATGAGTAGTGTAAGGACGGAAGATGCCACGGGCTGCTGAGAGAGAGAACGAGGTTGAAGCGAGAGGGATGGTGGGAGAGACGAGGCAAGGGAAATAGAAGCGGGTAAATGTCTAAATATTACCGAGAAAGAAGCCGAGTAACGAGAGGAGCCGCGGACGGGCGACGGATGGGACGGGCGGCGTGGCGAGGCCGGTGGATTGGGATGGGCCAAGAGAACACGCACAGAACTAGGCCGTTATAGTACCCCTGAAAACCCGAAGAAAGGTTCGAGACGCGGAACCCCGCTTTCTCAACCCCGCTAAAGTCTCGCGTCGTCTGCGGACCGGTACCCGAGCCCCGCTTTCATCTCGCGGGAGGCGATGTCACAAAGGAAATGCCTATATAGCTGTTCTCCGCAGTTCTGAGAGACGTAGGTGGGAGTGTAGAGCAATAAGGATGACCACATCAATACAAGGGGACCGCAGTGTACGATTAGATACGAATATAATGTACAGTAATAAGTAGAATCAATCGCATTCTTCCTCGTCGCCATCTCCGTCGACGACCGCGGGTTGCTTGCCCGAAGTCTTTCGCGGCCGTTTCTTCCATTCCTTCATCGCAGAGTCCACTCTATCTATCTGTGACTGAAGCGAACTCACGAAGGGGACATCCGTGGACCCAACAGTGAGTGTGAACCCATTCACAGATGGTACTTCCGAGAGTCGAACCAGAAACTCTTGAGACTCCAGCAGCGTATAGCGCGATACTGGGTGCGGATGCTGCGACCAGCGGTCGACGGTGGGCCGTATAAGAAACTTGGGTCGCCCGGAACTGTTTCGTGAACTGGGATAGTGCACGCGAACTCCGATGTTCGAGGCAGAGCCAATGGACTTGCACTCTTCTGAGAAGGCGTGTCGCCCAGCTTCGCCACCTCCTTTGACGTAAATCTCGTGAACTAGGTCCATTGTTGATTAGTATGCACAGTAATATACTAGCCAACAGGGCACACCTTCTACCAAACAGACAGTGTCGTTGTACCAGGCGAGGCCCCAGCAACAGGATGCATCCTCCTCCCTCGGCTTCGAAAACAATCTACGTCCGAGATCTACTTCGGCGCGGGTGAGAAAGGACGGCAGCGTGCACGTTGAAACGAAGATCTTCGCGCGCTTCTTGATTGCCTGAATGTGGTATGTGAGCGTGTGCGGGTGTGAACGAAGTAGGTGCAAATAACTCACCTCGCCTGCACGCCCTTCCGCGGATACAGCTGCATTCTGGGCGTTCCCTGCTTTCGACGGCTTCGCCGTCCAGCGCGTGATGCGACCAATGCCCTGCGTGGCTCGTTGCTCGTCGGGCGAGGTCAGAACGGCACGGTATTGCTTTGCCGTGACTGCGCGCATGCGGCGGACAGCGCGGTCATCACTTCCCGCTGCGGCGACTTGACTGCCGTCGGGAATCGGTCCTTTGGGTCCCTTGCGCTGCCGAACCACGCGCTTCGAGTGTTCTGTCTCCATGTATTCGTGAGCCTGAAGTAACGAGTCGATGTTGTATGGCTGGTGTTGGAGGGCAGGTTCCAAAGGCACCACGAGTGGAGGGAGGTGAGCGGCGAACGTCGCGCCGATCTTGGCCACATCCTCATCATACATCTCGTCGGTCATAGCGGGCATATTGCGTCTAACGATCGTTAATCAGGTGTGCGGCTCAATCGATGCCAAGTTGAACACTCACATATCCGTGCTGGACTGCAGTGTGAACGCGGACACGGCATACGCGAGTTTATTGAGTTGGTCGCGTTGTCCTTCCGACACATCGAGATCGACTGCCCAGTGCACAATCTGTTGCAGTTGCTCCTCGGACAATTCTATCACAGGTAATGAATATGGAGTGGCACATGATGATGAATGAATAACCACGCACCCTCCTCGTCGTCTGATTCAGCGGATTCAGACCCTGAATCATCGAGTTCCCAGCCATCGCTGCCATAACCGTCGTCGTCCTCAAACACATCGTCGATACGAGTCGGTACCATGGGCGGCATATGCAAGGTCGAGACATCTCGCTCGAAAAGCTTGACATCGACACCTAGCATAGAGGCGATGCTGCTGGCCTGGGAGTATGCGGTGCGCGAGATGGCAATGATGCGATCGTGCGAAACAAACGTGAGGGCGGACGCGCGGGCGGCGGGAGTGAGCCTTGCAGCGTTAGCGGCGAGATCATAGTTATATCCCTCGGATCTAACGATGGATGCAGTATCGGAACCGGAAACAAGTTGTCGAAGCTTGACTGCTAGCTTCGGGGCCATATACTGCCAGTCGAGTGCGGTGAAGTCCTTGACACACCCGCGGGCAGCCCCGAACGTGAGCTCGCACGGAGTAGTGCCGACTAGCCAGGGGTAGAAGGGATACTCAGCCTTATAGTCGTCACGCAGTATAGCATGGATCTGCAGGAAGCCGACGACAAGGAAATTGATGATGTCGAGTGCCTGTGCGGAGAGGATCTGGCGTTCATCAGAGGACCACCCAAATGCTTGACTAGCGCTTGGAAAGCACGCCAAGCGCCCGAGCACCGTCAAGCATCGTCAAGCACTCGCAAGCACGCCCTCACGTGGTCTTCTCGAAATGACCTCGAGCTCGGAATCCTTACTACTCCTTCGGACTTGTCCGAAAACCAGCGGAATACGTTCAGGTGTGCTGCCAGTTGGCCCTCCAGCCTTTTCTGGAGGCGCGTATAGCAGGGATGAGGTACTATGTCGAGTCGGGACACACGCACGGCGGTTGCCGAGTTCCGCCTCGTGGCCGCAAGCTCCAGCAGAGTCGTCGACTTTACTCAACGATCCGGCCGAATTTTGCTACAAAATTTAGTTCGCTGGAATGCTGGCAGTGATCGGCACCGCCTACAAATAAGAAAAACGAGGGGAGGGCCACGGTAAAGGAAACATCATTTGAGGTCATTTCGGCGACGCGGCGTTGTGACGTCGCGTGTGGACTGTTTGGGTGCGCTTCTGTGCGCTTGCGAGTGCTTGACGATGCTTGACGCTGCTCGGGCGCTTGGCGTGCTTTCCAAGCGCTAGTCAAGCATTTGGGTGGTCCTCTGATGTTGTGAAGAGTATCCCATCGACTTGATGAACAGCTTCCAGATGTCGATGACGTAGTATGCTCGCAGCACAGCCCCTATGCGCTCTTCGGTAGTGATCGTCTTGTTTTCATAGGCATCTATCAGGCCACCAAGCACAGTGACCAAGACGACAGTGGCGAG